AAACCAAAAAGGAAAGCAAATTATGATACGTCCAAGTATATTTCTGAAAATAGGAATTTATTTTTGATGGTACATATAAATAAAGTAAATAAAAACGATAAAAATAGAACGATATTATTCGTATTTATAAATATATAAAGTTTAAAATAAAGTAACAAAATAAAATGTGTGTAGTAAAATAAAATTATTTCAGTTCCGATAAAAAAAAAAAATAAATAAATAAATAAAACACACGATTTATGATATTACTCATGTTATTTTGATCTATTCTTAAAAAAAATTGAGAAAGTATAACATAACTTTGTATATGATCTCCCGTACTGTATGTTTACATCTTGTTATAAAACTATCACCTAGTAAAAGAAGGTTAGTATGCATGTTTACTTCAAAAGTGTGACAAGAATGAATTGTCCTTTAAATCCAAGATAACAGTTTAGAGCTAAGCTGGTAGTGAAAAGATAACGTCCACGGTAAATCTATACGAGTAAGCCTAGATATATTAACACTAATAGCTTCACACACGAGTAGAAATACGTATATCTTTTAAAGTGGCATATCAGGATAACCCGAAGCAGATACTCTCTTGCCTCCCCTTTTGAAGTTACAAATGTATCATGTTGCCTGCTCTTTACACAGTTTTTGCTATTTTTAGAAAACACTTATCTTGATATGGCTGAACTTGATACACAATAGTTACGTGAAATATATTGGGATATTATGATATAGGATTATATTTTTTTAATAGTCAAAGTGGCGAATCCTGTACCTCGCAAAGCCAAGTAATTTATTAATTCATTTCAATCTCATTCAAGAATTATTTAAAGTTATACTTCATTGGACTTCATTTTATTGTAGTAATTCCGATTAAGTGATTTTATACTTACTATTTAATCATCTTATAATCTTAAATTATTATTTATTGATTACATTAAACAATATGAGGGCCATTTTAATTCTAAATAAACGTGATCCCTTAATTTTTATTTTGAGCAAGAGCTCCTGTAATATTTACTAGCAAAAATTTATCTACAGTTAATGTAAGTACATTTTATTTTCTTGATAAACTTTCAACAGCCATTTGTTAAGAATGAATTCTGTACTTGAAAAATACTTTAAATTAACTTATTAATAACAGTAAATAGATAGTTAAAAAATTATTTTTCATTAAAAATCTCATAGATAGAATATTTAAAAATTGTATTAAAAGTAATGTTTGGTAGTGTAATGAGATAGTTAAAATCTTGTACAAATAATTTATACTTTTTTTTGATACAGGAAATTGTTTATACAATCATAGGTAAGTAAATCTCACAATAAACTTTTCACTTTATTTTATTATGAATAATTTATCAAAAATATACTTTAAATTTTCATCCCACTTGTTCGAAATTTATTAAGCGTATTGAACGTAATAGTTACTTAAAAACTAACTATGTCATGAATACAAAACAATTTGT